GATATAGGGTAGTCTGGTATATATAATAGGGTGACAACGTGACGGGACAAGAATGTGTGTGTGTAGGTAATGAGTAATTGATCTGCAGTCACAGGGTATTGTTGAAGTTAACGTTCGTTCGTTATAGCGTTTGTTTTAGCGTGATTGTTGAAGTTGAGTGTATCGTAAAGTTGTGTTCGGAAAGAATAAACCAGTTTTATTAAGTAAGGACTTGTGTCGCTAAAGTTTCGTCAGAACGAAGTTACGGAAAATCAATTAACAAACGGAGACGTAACAATATTTAATTTTCTGTTTTGTACAAAGTTATTGTATCGCAGCTGTTAAACTTCCTCAGAAAGTGTGCAATCAACTCATATTTAATTTGTACATTTCCAGAATTTACAACACAGCTAGCCATTAGTGAAACAAAGGAAATAATGATTAGATATTCTAAGGCAGTGTAAGTGAGCTTATAAACTTGGCCTAGAGAGAAAATGAGAGCTATGATTTGGAAATCCTCAATAAGCAGCACTATTGATGATAAGATAACAGTTTCTACAATCAAAATTAACCTTTCCGAACCTTTAACTTTAACCTCTAGTTATTCAACGTACCAATTATAAACAGTCTTAACTACTAACTATATATTTTTCATGTATAACGAATCTTAACCACCAACTAATTAGTATTCAAGTATATATCGAATCTAAGCTATCAGCTATTTAGTGTCCATCTTTAAATAATCTAAGCCACCAGCTATTTAGTGTCCATCTCTATCGAATCTAAACCATAAACTACTTAGTGTCCATCTCTAACGAATCAGAACCACGAGCTATTTGGTGTCCATCTTTAAATAATCTAAACCACTAGCTATTTAGTGTCCATTTTAAATAATCTAAACCACCAGGTATTTAGTGTCCATCTCTAACGAATCAGCATCACGAGCTATTTAGTGTCCACCTTTAAATATTATAAACCACCAGCTATTTTGTGTCCACCTTTAAATAATCTAAACCACCAGCTATTTAGTGTCAATCTTTAAATAATCTAAACCACCAGCTATTTAGTGTACACCTTTAAATAATCTAAACCACCAGCTATTTAGTGTCCATCTCTAACGAATCAGAACCACGAGCTATTTGGTGTCCATCTTTAAATAATCTAAACCACCAGCTATTTAGTGTCCACCTTTAAATAATCTAAACCACCAGCTATTTGGTGTCCATCTTTAAATAATCTAAACCACCAGCTATTTAGTGTCCATCTTTAACGAATCAGAACCACGAGCTATTGTGTCCATCTTTAGATAATCTAAACCACAAGCTATTTAGTGTCCATCTTTAAATAATCTTAACCACCAGCTATTTAGTGTCCATCTCTATCGAATCTAAACCATCAGCTATTTAGTGTCCATCTCTAACGAATCTGAACCACCAGATATTTGTGTCTTTCTAGAAATATAACTCATAACTTACTCTATCTGTCCTGGACAAAGTTTTAGTCTTCCAAATAAACTCTACAAGAGCTATTATACAAGCAAAACCAAGGCCGGCCAGTAAGACGACAAATACTCCTCCAATATTAGCTAGGCCTAACTCGTTTGTGGAGCCGCTGGTTTTCTTTTCTTCTTGCTTGCACTTTCCGCCGCTTCTCTTAGACCACCACTTCTCCTTCAGAAGATGAAGAACTCCATTTTCTTGCAGACGCAAGATGGCGTTGGAGATTGGAGTTCGATAAGGTGATCCTGGAATATATTCTTATCTTATTATTCAGAACCTGTTTGGGTTGTTACTTCTCTCAAAGTACAGTTCACCACTCCAAGATTATTCGTGAACTCAGTAGTAAATCATAATCTACAAACCTTCTTCATATCATTACTAACCGTTAACGAAAGGAACTATCTATAAAACAAATTCAGAAACAGCTCCAATTGTGTTGTCCATAAACATGTACAAAGAATAAATATACGTATTTTATAGCTTACTGGTAGCCTTAGATACTACATCTTCATTTTAAAATGTAATTACCTTTAGCATTACAATTAAAAATTTAAGATAGTTAGTAATAAAAGCGATCAATTATCAATATTAACAGTGCATGGGAAGATTAACAATGAAACTAATATCAATTTTTGGAGAGGGTATATTGTAGTATTTTAGCGACTGGACGAGAGAAACATATTCCCTTTTATTTATCGTCACAGTTGCAATGATATAGCTCGTGAGATAATTTAGTATCTGTTGTCCAATACTTATATACAGCCCGGTGCAAAAGTGGCTGTGTTTACAACATGGTTTCATTTACAACGTCTTACTTTGAATTAACTACGTACAAAATGTGTAATAAATATACGTTAAAGTTAAGAGCATGTCTGGGAGTTAAATATTATATTGTAAGAAATTTTCTACTTTAAAATTCCACTAAAAAGCTACGATTTATATCGCTGAAGGAAGTGAAAGCTTTTAACTCTGACAATCGAAGAAAGAGACATTTATTTCCTAATTACCTTCTGGGGTTGCTATTCCGTAGCCTTTGGAATCTAATAATCCGCCTATTTGCTCCAGCTCGCAGTCCCTCTCTGTCATGTATTCTATAGACGTTGATTCCATTAGATAGGCATAATTCCCTTCACGAACTCTCTCTACTCCTGCCTGGTTCGATTCGGTAAACACTGATGGTTGAGCTTGCATAACAGCCCACATCTTCTTATAAGTAGGAATACTTGACTCCTGTCAAAACATACATCATTCAGAACAAACTCGGGCAACAATAAGATTATTAAATTAAGCTTCAGCAACAATAAGGTTATTAAACTATACTCCAGCAATAATAAGGTTATTAAACTATATCCAAACAATAATAAGGTTATTAAACTATACTCCAACAACAATAAGATTATTAAACTAAGCTTCAGCAACAATAAGGTTATTAAACTATACTCCAGCAATAATAAGGTTATTAAACTATACCCAAACAATAATAAGGTTATTAAACTATACTCCAACAACAATAAGGTTACTAAACTATTCCCCAACAACAATAAGGTTACTAAGCTATACCCCAACAACAATAAGGTTATTAAACTATACTCCAGCAACAATAAGGTTATTAAACTAAACGACAACGAAATAATGTTATTAGACTAAACCCCAACAACAATAAGGTTACTAAGCTAAATCCCAACAACAATTAGGTTATTAAACGAAATTTCAACAACAATAAGGTTATTAAACAAAATTTCAGCAGTAAAAAAGGTTATTAAACTAAACCACAAAAACATTAAGGTTACTAAAATATACTCCAACAACAACAAGGTTATTAAACTAAACTCCAGCAACAATAAGGTTATTAAACGAAACGAGAAGAAAAATAAGGTTACTAAACTAAACCCCAACAACAATAATGTTATTAAACAAAATTTTAGCAGTAAAAAGGCTAGTAAACTAAACCACAAAAATAAAGTTGCTAAACTAAACCCCAACAACAATAATGTTATTAAACAAAATTTTAGCAGTAAAAAGGCTAGTAAACTAAACCACAAAAATAAAGTTGCTAAACTAAATCCCAACAATAATAAAGTTATTAAACTAAACTCTAGCAATAAAGAAAGAATGAGGTTATCAAACTAAACTCGAACAATAATATTGTTGCGTCATCGAGGTCACGTGACTGGTGTGGCGCCCTCTATTTTCTAGAACTATCTTGTTTTTTCATGAATGCTCTAGTATTTACTAGATAGGGTAGGCGGGTATATATAAGAGGGGACAACGTGACGCGAGAGGAAGGTAATGTGTGTGGGGATAGTGAGTAATTGATCTGCGGTCAGAAGTATTATTGAAGTTCGTTGTTATAGCGTTTGTTTAGCGCGATTGTTGAAGTTGAGTGTATCGGTAAAGTTGTATTCGGAAAGAAT